TGGACTGGTGCAGCTGTGCTGTCAGGCCTGTTGGCAGGGCCAAAGCGCACAGAGGAACAGACGCCCTCCCTGGCCCCCGTGTCCTGGCACCTTGAACTTGCAACAGCTCTGATGATGACTTTCTCTTTGTAGCTGTCCAAGAGCACAGCTGTGAGTAAGTCCGTGTGAGGACAGGAAGTATCTATCTTTACATCCCTGAATTAACCAGCCTATACTGTTCTGAAAAATCTGTCCCTTTTTTCTTCTAATAAGCAAATTTCTTTCTTTTTTTCTTTTTCTTTTTTTTTTAGCTCTTCCGCCATCACTTGATTTTCAAGTCTGAATTGTCTGTAAGCTTAAAGTATTTCTGATGAAGTTGACACTTTTTTTTTTTTTTTGGTCTTTTTGAGACAAGGTCTCCCTGTAGCCCCAGCTGTCCTGGATTTGCTAATGGAGACCAGGTTGGCCTTGAACTCACAGAGATCTGCCTGCCTCTGCCTCCTGAGTGCTGGGATTAAAGGCGTGTGCCACCACGCCTGGCTAAATTGACACATTTTTAACATTTTCCTCTCCTGAAAGAAAAAAAAGAGAGTGAAAACCAAATCTTGATTACATTAACAGGAGTATGAAAAGCAAAATAAAGGAGGAGACTATGGAGAGTCTCTGGTTGGAATCTCACCAGGAGGACAGTGTTAGGCTGCTAGTAATTTCCACATAATTCTTAGCATTGTCCAAAAACCAGCATGGCCCTTCTGCCCAGGGGCTGAGGCTTCCGTCACTGGGAGTGCATAAAGCCAGCTCATCATGGAGGGATTTGTAGCCTGAGAAATCCTCCGACTTGGGTCTAGAGAGCACTGACTGCTCTTGTAAAAGACCTGGGTTGGGTTCCCAGCACCCACAGGGCGGCTCACAACCACCTGTAACTTCAGTTCCAGGGACTCTGACGCCCTCTGAAGGTTTGTACACTTTCAGACATGCAGGCAAAACACTCATACACATAAAATAAAAACAGATCAATAAACTCACTTATTTCCTTTTCTCCTTTGATTCCAGTACCCAGGCACCACTCCCAGGCTTGGCTCAACTCCATCTGCCATACAGAGAATTGGTTTCCAGTCCTGGCCGTGCTGTCTGACCCTGGGCTGCTCCTCACCCCCTGTGCCTCTTCCATACCATTGAGCAGTAACAACGGTCAGGTCTGTGATGATGTCGCTGGAGAGTGCAGGACACAGGCTGGAACAGAGGCGTCACTCTAGAGTTGCCCCCAGCTACTGAGCTATGATGTGACCACAGAATGCCCTTGCCCACCACATGGGTCTCCCGGAAGCAGCCTAGAGGAGGGGTGTCTGTGAGCACCAGGCAGCTCCCTCCTGCCTCTTCCCAAAGCCTCTGTGGCTCCCACCGTCCTCAAGGTCAAAGCCCAAGTCCTCCGTCCAGGGGCCTCGCACAGGCCTCTGTTCTAACAGCCCAGAGGTTCTTATAAATGGAGAAACAACGCTCACTCTGGAGCTTGGCTTGGTGCAGCCGCTCCTCATCCCAGGACTCAGGAGGCTGCGGCTGGAGGATTGAGAGTTTGAGGCCAACGGTTGTTAACAAACTTGATCCCTTAACTACCTTCCTTCTGTTTGTTGATTGATACAGCACAGGGGATGCACTGGATACCCGTGTTCTATTTTCACTCCTTGCTGAATTAATTTATGAGTTTTAATAGCTTTTCTCAATGGATCTTTTGGTATTTTCCATGGTGTGGTGTGCAAACAAGAGGCTGACTTCCTTCCCGGGAAAGTCCTTAGTCATTTTCTGGTCTTGTTGCTTAGTCACAACCTCAAGCAACACATTGAACAGAAGCTGAGACAATCCACATCCTCTTCCTGTTCCTTGATGTGCAAGTATTCTATTTTTTCTTTCTTTTTGAGGCAGGGTCTCACTGTGCAGCCCCGGATGGCCTTGAACTTCCGCTGATCCTCCTGCCTCCACATCTCCAGAGCTGGACTCACAAGTGTGGGAAACCCCACCCACAGCAGACACTCCCTCCTCTAGTGTGTAGACTTTCATGGAGGGAGGCGGACTGTGTTTCTACCTTGTAGAAAGACAGAGAGACAGAGACAGACAGACACACACAGAGAGAGAAAGAAAGAGAGAAAGAGAGAAAGACAGAGACAGAGAGACACACACACAAAGAAAGGGAAAGAGAGACAGAGACAGACACACACACAAAGAGAGAGACAGAGACAGACAGACAGACACATTGAATTTTGAGCAGCATACAACAGTGCCCCAGGACAGTACACATTCCAGAAGCTTCTCCCAGGACCTTTATAGTTGGGGTTCCAGGCACCACATCCCCAGCTCGGTGTGAGAAATCCTGCATGCGGATGTTTTGTGTTTCATTGGAATTGTCTCAACAACAAAACCACAAAGAAAGCAATTACCACATTATGGAAGTTGCCATGGGAGAGAGGAGAGGGAGGGTGTCGGGGGAGTCCGGCCAGCCCCACATGCTGTAGAGGAGGGAATGTTCCAGAATGAACTTTTCACCCACAGTAAGTCATGCTGCCCTCTGCGTGCCAGGCACTGGGGTTGGCAGACCTCAAAGGCCCCAGGGTGCAGCATACCCCAAACCCAACCCAGTGCTCCACCTTGCAGACCGTGAAAGAGAAAGCCCGCCCTGGGGTCCAGCCTGCCTTCCTGTTCCCAGCAGGCACTGCGGGTCTCCTGGTCTTCCTGCCCTATGCCAGCTCCCCACAGGCTGTGCAAAGGTCCTGAGGCAAAGGAAGGGGCAGTGCAAAGTCAGAGCAGCAAGGAGGCTGGCTTGTCTGGGGCAGATGAGGGTAGGGAGGGCGGGGCAGGGGCAGGGGCAGGGCCTTGTGCGCGCGGCCGTTGGATGCAGTCCTTGCCTGTGGTCTCTCCAAGGCCCGGTTTTCCTTCTTGGCCTGTTTGCCACGGCCCGGCTTGTGAATGAATGGATGGCCGCGCGCAAGCGATCGGATCACACCGCACGCATTTATACATCTGTTTTCCTTCGCTGCTCACAAGGGCCCGCGAGGCAGAAGCAAATTATTCTGTTCCTACAGACAGGACAGCAAGACTAGAGACTCAAGTGTCAGGACTGGGTCTCGGTTCCCTCCTAACCGCCCCTGCCTGGTCCAGCCCTTAGCACGGCTCCCAACCCCCCCAGCTTCCTCCTTCCCTCCTTGGCCAAGGCAATATGCAAAGCTGGAGCACCTACTGTGTACAACCAGTCACACCCGCCCAGTATCTCTGAGGCATATATGCACAGCTGAGCACCTACTGTGTACAACCAACAATGTCATCAGCCTCCAGGGATTATTTAAAGTTTGAGCACCTACTGTGTGCAGCAAACCATGCCAAGCACCTCTACAAAATATGCAAAGCTTGAGCACCTACTGTGTAGAGCCCATCATGCCAAATCCGTGTACATGGGCCACAGAAGCCAGAGTATGAAAAGCGCCGGCAGGGTCACCCCACCTGCAAGGAGGACGAAGTGGCTCTGCAAACCTGGAGATGCGCTGGCCGCCGGGAAGCCCAGTTCTTAATTTAGGCTCCTTGTTCAATTATTCATCGGCTGCTAGCGCTCCCCCTGTTTACGACTTCCGCCGTGCCATTCCATTCCCTGAGTTAAGGCTTCCATCTCTGGTCTGGAATGAATGAATTGATGCTTTTAAAGAGGAAAAAAACAAAAACAAAACAAAAAAACCATCCAAATTCTAAAAATCAAATATTTTCGTTCTTTGGGGGCAGGGTCTTCTCCGTAGCCCAGGCTGGCCTCAAACTTAGAGTCGTCCTCCTGCCTCAGCCTCTTAAGTGCTGACGACAGGCCCGACTAAGCCAGTCTTCTCAGGAATAAGGATCATTCCCTCAGTACTCACAGGAAATGAAGTTTCAGCGTGCTGCGATTCCCCACCCAGGTGCTGTTTCCCAACTTCGAGCCCCTCAGCCAAGCAACGACACTGTTTTTCTTTTAGTTTTTAATTAAGTGTGTGTGTGTGTGTGTGTGTGTGTGTGTGTGTGTGTGTAAAACACCGACACTGTTTTTCTTTTATTATTTAATTAAGTGTGTGTGTGTGTGTGTGTGTGTGTGTGTGTGTGTGTGTAAGTCAGAGGACAACACGGGAGACATTCTCTCCTCCCACGATGTGGGTCCCAAGGGACTCAAACTGGCCCTGGGATTTGCCCGCAAGCCCATGTACCCACTGAGGCCTCTCGCCTGTCCTCTGCCCTTGGACTTTTTTCTATTATTATTGCGTTTTTGTGGGGTGTGTGTACATGCCATGGTGCTCCCGTGGGGCTCCGAGGGCGACTTGGGGAGTGGATGCTCGTCTTTCACCATGTGGGTCCTGGGGATCAAACTCGGGTCCCTGGGCTTGGTCGAGCCCCTTTACCACGAGCCCTCTTGCTTGCTCTTCCCTCACCCTCCTTTTTCCTTTTTGAGACAAGGTCTTGGTAAATTGCCCTCAGCACGCGGTCAACCCAGCACTGGGGAGGCTGAGTCAGGAGGATCAGAAGTTCAAGGTCACCCTGGGCTACATAGTGAGTTGGAGGCTAGCCTGGGCTACACGAGACCCGTTCTCAGAAAACTAAAGGAAGAGGCTGCCTCAGTTGGGACCCGGGGACTTAGAAACCGTGACAGGGTGTTGAGTGCAAACGTTGACAGCGGCTGGGGGCACGTTGGCTTTTCTCCCGGGTCCTGGGAGCCACGGAAGGTCCCAAGGGGCGCCGGCCTTCGCACCCACATCTCTGGCAACCAGTGGGACCCTAGAGACCCCTCCCAGGCGAGGCTGCAGCCCACGTGTCCCGAGCCCCACGTGCTCCCGCGGCCCTTTAAATGCAGCCCCTGCACCACGTGACCCAGCCACGCCCCGCTCATTGGCTCGCCCGGGCGCGGCTGCGCAGTGATGCGCACGTCCGGGCCCCGCCTCCTTTTCTCTGGCTGCGGCGGCGGCGGCGGCGGCGGCGGCGGCGGCGGAAGGGGTGACGTCACCGCTGGGGGGGGGCCGAGCCGCAGTGAGTCCGGCAGCCCTGGGTCCGCGCGCGCTCGCCTGAGCCGGTGGAGCTCGGGCTACGGTCGGATCCTCATGCCGGGTGCAGCATGTGAAGCTGGGCAGAGCCAGGGGGACCCCAGCCCGCCAGCCTGCAGGTACCCCGATTTGCAAAGCGCCATGCATGCGGTTGCAAAAAAAATTAAATTGAAATATATATATTTTTTGTTCCAAAGATCCCGGTGGGGGGCGGGGAGTGGGCAGCGCGCCGGCTTTGTGCGTCGGAAGCTTCTGGGCCTTTGTGCTCGAGGGGTCCGGACTGCAGCTGGTTTGCTGTTTTTGATTTTTTGGTTTTCTTTGCATTGAGTAGAGAGAAAAAAGAAAGAGGGCAAGAGGGGGCGCCTGGCACCCCGGGAGCCGCGATACCCGGGGCGGGCGCCGCCTTGGACGGGTCCCAGCGTTGCCGACTGCACCAGCCCGGCTGCGGGCCGGGACCGGGTGCGCGCTGTGTTGAGGGGTGTTATGGGGGCGCGTCGTGTTGGGGTACCAGGAACCCCAGACTGGTGTCTGGATGCCCCGTGAGCCGGGGACCCGCCGCCTTGTCTCCCTGCATCCCTCTCCCTGGGGCACCCCTGGTTTCTTGGGATGAGGATGTCCCCTTAGGGACACAGCCAGGGCTTTGGCCCCACCCTTCTGCGGTCGGGGATGCCCCCCGACTCCTCCAGACCAGGTGAACCTAGTCCCTCCCCCCAAGCCCTAGGGATCGGGGTTCGACGTGAGCGTGCCCCCTACACCTTCCTCTCCCTGGTGCGGGGCTCCGTGGGGATCCTGGGAGAGTGAGCCTGCGGCCCTGAGGGTGTGCACATCCCGGGAGCCCCCTGGGGGCTTGAGGGGGAGGTGGTGACATCACCGGGGGCGGGGCCTCCGAGCGCAGGTGGAAAGGGGTTCCGAGCAAGGGGACCCCCGGGTTGCAGCACGCGGACCGCGGGGTGCTGGCATCAGAAGGGGCTCTGGCCAAGTTCATCGCTCCTTATAGAGGCTCCCTCATAGGGGAACCCCCTCTTTAGCAGCTTTTCTCTTCAAATCTGGGAACCCCCTCACCCATTTCTCCAACTCCACTAAAAACTGGGATCTTTTTTATTGCCACACACACCCCAAAATATTCTGGTCGGTTTCCCCCTTCCCAGGTTTCAGACCCTCCCTTAGTCGCTTCCCCAAATCCACAGCGGGTGTGAGCACCCTCTTTTTCCCAGTCACCTCCTGGGGAATCTCATCCGTCCCTCCAATTGAACCCCAAATGGGCACTGTTCCCTTCTTCTCTGTAGTGCCTCTCTTTGGGGGACCTCTTGGCCTGGCTGGGATTCCCTTGTCTACCTCACTTCATCTTTAAGAGAGTTCCCAGCCTGAGTCAGGGGGTCCCCTCAGTGAAAAAACAACATCCTTGCTACTCAAGGGGAGACCTGTGAAGTGTCCAGACCCAGGCAGAGCACTTGGGACTCCAAGACACTGGGACAGAGCAAGAGGGACCCCAAGGGGTCAGAGATGGGAGGACACAGTCTGTACACCCCAATCTTCCTGCATATGAGGACCAGGGTCGTGATCTCTGTATGTCTCCCAGTGACTGCTGCTCCCAGGGTGCAGGAGATGAGGATGCTCTTTGTCTGGGCTAGCCTGGGAACCTCTTGGAGTCCCAGGCTGCCTGAGTCCCCCTCAGGGGCTGCCTGATTATAGCTCCTGTTAAAGGCACTGTAGCCTCCCCTCCCCCTGGGGTCCCTGGCCTTCCTTTGTGTCCCTCCCCTGCCAGCCTTCTGTCCCTCTGCTCCTCCTTGTCCCTTCTCCACATGGCTTGGTGGTGGGAGCCGGCAGCTGGAGAGGAAGGATTGGTGGGGTATTGCTTTCCAAGCACCCCTCCCCCCAGAGCCCACCAATGGGGGAAGAGAGAGGGACAGGCAGATGTCCCCAGATCTTGTCCCTGTTGTCCCCAATTCCTTCTCTTTGCCTTCTTCCTCCAGAAACCCACGGTGTCCTGTCCTGTTCCCGGGGGGGACAAGGGGTGGGGACACGCCTTCACCATGACTTGCATTTCTTCCTGGGGACTGGCTCCCCCACCCCCAGTCCCTTTGGGGGAACCTATCACCCGCCATAGAGTGGCCCTGAGACTTATTTAATTGGGCCCAGGGTGAACGAATAGTCTGGGGAGCCTCATCTGACCTGGTGAGCTCACTGGATTATGATTCTGAGCCTGCCACCCTGGCCAGGCGTGATGACATCGGTCCTGTCCTGTTCCCCAGGGGCCAATGAAGGCAGGGAGCCCCGCTGTGGCCACCTTGCACCCCGTGGGCAATGCCAGGGTTGCCCTGGGTTGCTGAGGCCCAAAGCCACTTCTCCCCTCTGCCCCCTCCCCTGGGACTCCCTGTAGAAAGGACACTCTTTGAAGATGACAGGTGCACCCTGGGTCTCCGTCTGTCTTTGCCACACTTTGCATACTTAGCCCCTTTGGGAGCCTCTGGGACACTTTGTCACCATCTCCTGAGGGCCTCTGAGTATCCTGCATCTGGCATCCCTCCATCTTTCCATCCTGCCATCCCTCCATCCATCCCTGCATCTTTCCATCCATCCCTCATCCTTGCATCCATCCAGCCCTCCATTCATCCCTCCATCCCAGCATCCCTCCATCCTTCCCTCCATCTTTCCTTCATCCCGTCCTCCATCCATCCCTGTATCCATCTATCCCTCTATCCTTTCCTCCCTCCTTCCCTCCATCCCTGCATCCTCCCATCCTCCATTCCTCCATCCCCCATCCCTGCACCCCTCTATCCTTTCATCAATCCCTCCTTCCATCTCTCCATCCATCTCTCCGTCCCAGCATCCCTCCATCACTCCTTCCATCCCTGCATCTCTTTCAAATGTCTCTTCTTGGTACCCTACATTTGCTGTGGTTACTGATGACTTAGCTTCCCCTGCTGTCCCATGCTCCACACAAAGCTGACCGTGTCCTCTCTGCGTGTCTTCACTTGTGGCTTTGACTGTCCGCCGGCTATGTTGCCTGGACCCAAGGGTCAGGGTGGTCCATGGGCGATGGAGGCTGAGGTGTTGAATGTGGCATGGCTTGGTGGCTCAGCATGACCTTCGCCCTTCGTGTCTGGCCTGGGGCTCACCTATTCCCTTTGATTCTGTTGCAGCCCCCTGGGGCTGAGGATAGGAAGAGGGGGTATTGATAGAGTTCTGCACAGGGGTGAGCCAGAGAAAAACCCTAAAAATAAAATTGGATATTTATAAACTCAGCGGGTTCAGGGGACACGTTGACAGCACTAAATGGTTTTGGGCTGTGAACAACGTCTGGTAGAGTTAGTGGAGGGGAATGGAGAGTTTGGGAGTGTGAGTTAGGTATGTCAGCTACAGTGATAGCTCTGGGTCCCTTTTGGGGGTGTCTCAGCCTAAGATCTCACATTCAGGGGTTCTTTGCATCTGAGACACCCTACTATTTTTCCCTAATTGCTGTGTATCCCTGGGCTGTTTGCTAACTCTCTCTGTGCAACATGCAGCTGCCATTATCCTGCCCTGTCTGGCTTCCCCTTTCTGTGTCCCCCACATCCCAGAATTTGGAAGTCACAGGGAGCAGAGATAGCCCTCCCACCCTTCCTCTGTCCTCTGCGACACACAGAGGCTCAGCCTTTGCTGGGGACAGGAGATGCCCAGATAAGCACCAGGACAGTGCCTGGTAGGGATCCACATGGCAAATTCAAGAAGACCCACTGTGGGGTCTCACAGAAAGGCCCGGAGAGGAGGAGCAAGGGCTGCGATCTTCACAGATTGGTCCTCGGTTCCATCTTCTCGTGACCCTGAATCAGGATGCTGGAGCTGGTGGGAGAGGAGAAACAGTGGGCACCAGCCAGAATGGGGTTCAGGGTCAGGCGTGTGCCAGGGGGCCTTTTGGCAGTAGGAATTAGGAACACAGGCCCCTGTGACAGAGGATGCAAGACATACTGTGTTGTCCACAGGATCGACCAGAGAGGATCCAGCCGAGCCCTGAGGTTGCACAGCAGTTCTGTGATATTTGGGGTCACCCTGGTCCTGAGGTTTAAAGGATGCTGAGTGAATATGTAGTTTGCCTTTAAAAAAGAAAAATACTGTAAAGTTTTTTTTTTTAAATTGGGGAGGAGAGAGGAAGTGTTGCTCAGTGGTGAGCACTTGTCCAGCCTGTGCAAAGACCCTGGGGGGGGTCCATCCGTAGTGTTGAAAGAGGGAAAGAGAAAAAAAGGAAGAAATAATAACATCCAGTCCTGATTCTGCCACTTCTGTTTTGTGTCTGGTTGATATTTGAGAGGTGTTGGGAGAGAGGAATACGAAAAAAATCCATTGCTTTACACAGGCGTACAGGTGAAAATGGACAAACCAGGAGGTGACTCAGGAGGTGACTCAGGGACGGCCTCGACTTCCGCTGTTTTATTTCTGTCTTTTCCCCTTTTCCTTCTTTTTTCCCCTTCCTCCTCCTCTGTGCGATGCAAGTTTCCACCCCACACCCAGCATCCTCCGGGCCTGGCCAGGCTGGGCCTTGGGGTTGATGACATTTTTCTAAGTGAAACCCTTCCCTCTCCCACACATGGGATCTCCTTTTCTGTTCCGTGGGATCCTGGGGAGGCCACAGGATCCCATGGCTGAAAATAAACCTGGAGTTTGGGATCTTTCTTTTTTGGTTGTAGTCCCCACCCTGGGGTTTCTGGGCCACAGACTCCCCCGTCCCCTATCACCTTCTCAGAGCCAGATCAAACATCTCTCTCTATGATTCTCCAACTTACCTGGGTGCCCCTGCTATGCTGGAAGTTTGACTTAAATTTATTTATACACTTAGCACTTGTGGGAAAACTAGAGATCTCTTTCCTCAACCTTCCAGACTGGAAAAAAAAAAGCCGTTTATCTCTGTTTTCTCAGTCCCTCCTCCTCACCTGCTGCCCTGACCTCTCCCATTTTAACTCCTTTCTGTGCAGTGGTGTCTTTGCAAAATGAGGTTAGCCCCCACTATCCCTCAGACAGAGCCCAAAATTCTGCTCTGCAACCCCAGCCAGGTTGTCAGGTCACTCTGTTCCTGTATGGTCCATGAAGGTCCATGATGCTGTGGGGAGATGGCCTTGCAGAGGGGCCTGGATAATGCTTCCCG